AAGGTAAACACTATTGTGTGTTTATTATTTCCCTTGTCTTTTAAAAATAGTTTTGCTGCATACATCCATCTGTAAATAATATGGTTTAGGGTGTTTTTGAAGTTTATATAAGTGCTATCATACTGTATGTGCTCTGTGACTTAGTGCATATGTGTGTTTTAATTCAACATTAAGTTTGTGGGACTTGTCAGTGGGGTATGGTAGCTGTAGTTTAAATATTTTCACTAACGGATATAATTTCATTTTATGACTATATCATACTTCTCTTTTCGGTGAATATTTTGGGTTGTTTCTTGTTAGTTAATGGGAGCAGTAATGCCGTAAATAGTTTTGCCCAGGACTCCTAGTGATACTTGCAAAAGTTTCTTTCTGTTTTTATATGTAGGGGTGGAATTGCTATTTGCAGGGTATACATCTGAAACTTTTTTAGATAATGCTAAATTGTGTCCCGTTCGTGCTCCTCCTCCCTCACTCTTCATGTCCTTTGTGTTTCAGCATTTACCTCACTGACTTACACTTTCTTTTTTTTCTTTGCCCTTCTTTTAGGGTAATCAGAAGCCATGTTAGCTTAGTTTGTTTTGGCCAGTGCCCTAGCACAACACCAAACTCAAGTGGGAGTTTAGTGTGTAATGGTCCTTAGCAGTCCTCTTTCTAGGTAGGTCCGTCTGTAGCTGAAGTATTCTAATCTACTTTCAAACGTAAAAGCACTGTGCCCCTTCCCACGTTGGTCCAGTGTTAGTAATACATGCTTGCCCATTCTTCGTTTACATCTATCGCTATGTTTGACAGGTGACATCTGGACAATTGCCTTCTCTAGCTTGTTAGATTGAAAAGGCATTGAGCCAACTGGGAAGAAGCTGCTGTGCAACAGAGGGAGATAAATAAAATCACTGATAAATAAAATCTTTGATTTTTTTTTTCTGCACCTGTTGGTCACTGAGAAGTCTTATGTAATAAATTATTAGCCAAAGAAACTGCCCATCTTCCTGAGTAAATCGGTAATTACTATGCTAACTTGGTGTGAGAGGCTTGGTTGGCTTGTTGTTTGCCCCTGCTGAGAGCATGCAGTTGTCATGTCTACTAACGAGTCTTTGAGATTGTCAGCTGTCCTGCTCTGACTTTGTTTTTCAGCTATCACCCTGTGCCTCCCAGCTCCTTGTGGAACACTTGTGCTCTTTGGAGCATGCTGTTTTATCTGCAGGATGGAAAATAACACCCTGTGGGGAGAAAATGTCCGCTATTGGCCCTTCCAATTACTAGAGTCATCTGGTTAATTTGAGGTCTCCTTGTTTACTTGTTCATGTTGTTTAAAATATATTGGCAATGTGCAACCTGTGTACAGCACTCTGTAGATAGTCTAAGATTAATGTTCTTGTCTCATGTAACTCAAGTGAGAAGCGTGTGAAACGTGCACTTAAGAAATGTGAACATGATTGTGGATCTAAGGCTATATATATGTGTATATATATGCTGTGGGACTCAGTTTTAGCAAATGTGTTCCTCTACCTAGTACAGAGAAGAGAGAGTTGAAAGTTGTGTGTTAGGAAGGTCACTTTCCTTTTCTTAATCCCAGTAGAAATATAATTTGCTTTTCGGGGAAAAAAACCCTTTTCCCTTTATTAGATATTTAAATAAAGATGAACATTGTACTAGTTGTTTCTCAAGTATGTACTCTGCTCTTATTTAACATCTACTAAATTCCTTCAGAATCTGTAGTATTTTTTAAAAACGTTTATGGTTGGAGAGAATACTGATAGTTGGCTTTAAAGTAACTAAATTGGGGGCACTTGGGTGGCTCAGTCAGTTGAGTGTCGAACTCTTGATTTTGGCTCAGGTTGCGCTCCCAGGATCGTGGAATCAGGCTCTGAGCTGCTTGGGATTCTCTTTCTCTCTCCCTCTGCTGTGTGTGTGTGTGTGTGTGTGTGTGTGTGTGTGTGTGTGTGTGTGTGTGTGTGTGTCCTCTGTCTCCCTCTCTCAAAACAAAAAAACAACAGAAAAAACAACCCACTAAATTGTTTTATTCATTGACTTAAAAAAAATTTTTTTTAATGTTTATTTTTGAGAGAGAGAAAGAGTATGAGCAGGGGGTGGGCAGAGAGAGAGAGAGAGAGAGACATAGAATCCAAAGCAGGCTCCAGGCTCCAAGCTGTCAGCACAGAGCCCGATGCAGGGCTGGAACTCACGAATGATGAGATCATGACCTGAGCTGAAGTCGGACTCTTAACTGACTGAGCCACCCAGGAGCCCCACTTTTTTTTTTTTTTTTTTTATAAGTAGGCTCTGTGCTGGGCATGGAGCCCAACTTGGGGCTTGAATTCATGGCCCCGAGATCAAGACCTGAGCTCAGATCAATAGTGAGAAGCTTAACTGACTGAGCCACTCAGATGCCCTTATTCATTGACATTTTTATCAACATTTTTTAAATTAAAATATTGATACATGTCCATGATTAGACATTCAAGCAGTACAGAAAGATGGGAATTATGAAGGAAAAAGCCCTAGTCTTGTCTCTGTTTTTGCTTTCCACAGGTGATCACTAGGAAATACAGTTGGCTTTTAAGATTCTGTTACAAGCAGGTGGATCTATTATAGCTCCTTTTTAAAATTCACAGCTTTAGATGTTGGCATTGTTTTTCCTCTGTACTAAGTAGTGCTTCCTCTCCTATGGCCCATGTTTTGGCTAGTGGTATGGTGACATTTGGCCAGATGGCATGTTGTTTGATGTTATCTTTTTTTTAATGTTTGTTTATTTTTGAGAGAGAGTGAGCTCGCTTGTGAGAGTGGTGGAGGGACGAGAGAAAGCGGGAGAGAGAGAATCCCAATCTGTGCTTTGTCAGCACAGAGCCTGATGTTGGGCTCAAACTCACAAACTGTGAGATCATGACCTGAGCTGAAATCAAGAATCTGATGCTTAACCAACTGAGCCACCCAGGTGCCCCAAGGGAAGAGTTTTAGAGTCTCATTGTTGATCTCTTCTCTTTGGTTCTTGTGTGGTATATGGTGAAGTTTCCCCTGGTGTTCTTTTCTCTATTTGAGATACTTCAGTAGGAGAGGCAGAAAAATCATTAAATTTCACAGGTATCCAAAATGTCCTCAGTGGATTTTGTAAAACCAATTATTAGGAGATAAAATGTGCTCTGCTGTATCACTCACAAACTGTATCACATTTGTCTTTGAGTACAAAGCACATTTGCATATCCTTATCTGTATGTACACTTAGGGAAAGAGTTCAGGAGTTATGAGTCACATTTCTCCTTAGACCACATTTTTTTTTTAAAGGGGGTACTGAAGTTAAGCCTGCTTGGACAAATCTGTTAGAACCAAAGGAGGTGGTGATGGCTAAGTTGGCATGACTAGTATACAGTAGAAGTGTTATTTTCATCAGGACACTTAGGGGCAGTTGCCCCTCTAACCACAAAAGCACTAGGCAAGCCAGGATATATTACTCTTGTATTCTTACTGGATGCCAAGGCAAACTCTTCCACACTTTAGTTTTTTTACCCATTAATTGGGAACACTTTTACTTGCCATTCATTCTAAAATGTGGGTGAAATAAATATATAATAGGACCTATAGATTGTAAGAGAAGGTACTTCTTAAATGATAGATATGAAGTAAATGAAATTGGTCAAATGAGAGAGACCTGGTGAAATTTCTATTATTGCCTTAGCATTAAAAGTCTTAAAAGCATCTTTGTATCTTAGATTTGAGTTTCACATTGTGAGTGCTGTAATAGAATATCTTCTCTATCG